CTTTGAAAATTGCGAACATCCAGTCTCTACATCTACGCCGAAAAGTAAAAGTAATAACAAAAAAGCAAAACATAGCACAAAAAACAATATTAAACGTTCCTTAAAAATCCTGATTGTAAACTGCAGATCTATTGTGGACAAAAAATTAGAGTATGAAAATATGGTAACATCAACAAACCCAGATATTATAATTGGAACTGAGTCTTGGTTAAAACCTAAACACTTTGATAATGAAATTTTCCACCCAAACCTAGGTTACACGCCCTACAGAAGAGATAGGAAGAAGCAGGCTGGGGGAGGAGTATTTATTGCTGTCAAAAACTGCATTATAGCACAAGAAGCCACCAACCTCCAAACTGATTGTGAAAATCTATGGGTCAAAATTGAAATGCAAGGTTCCAAACCACTGCTTGTAGGTTCTTACTACAAACCTAAAGAAAATGACCCATATAGCCTGGATGACTTCAATAAATCTCTATCCATGGCTACCAAGTCAAATGCAACAGTATGGGTAGGCGGGGACTTCAACATGCCAAAACTTGATTGGTCAAATGTTACTCCAACCCCGGACTGCAAACTTCAATCACATTATAGAGATTTTATTAACATTCTTTTTGATAATAACCTTACTCAATTAGTCAAAGACCCAACCCGAGAAAACCATATCTTAGATCTGTTCCTGACAAGTAACCCCTCCATTGGAAACAGGGCAAATGTAATCCCAGGTATCAGTGATCACGATGCTGTCCTGGTCGACACAAATACCTCCGCCCGTATAAAAGTCCAAAAACCACGTAAAATCCACCTATATAATAAGGCAGACTGGGACGGTCTTAGGTTACATATGTCCAACCTTCATGATTCTCTTGCCAGGTCAAAAAGTTACTCCAACAAATCAGTGGAAGAGTTATGGCAAACAATCTCCAGCTCAATTGAGGATTGGGGTCAATACTTTCATCCCATCAAAATGGTCATCCTCCAAAAATAAACTCCCCTGGATCAAGGTCAACCTCAAACGTCTATATAGGAAAAGGACAAAGCCTACAAGCAGTACAAGGGCCATAACTCAAATAAATCTAGAGAAAAATATCTCAGCATTAAACATCTCTGCAGAAAAGAAACTAAGTTAGCCTATCAAAATTACTTGGAAGATATACTAAACATTAACAACAACATCTCTGAAGAACATGAACAAACACAAACCAGACCAAACACCAAAAAGCTATATTCACTATTAAAACTCTCAAAACAAGACTCTTTTGGCATTGACTCACTGAAAAAACACAATAAACTGTATACATCAGATCAAGACTTGGCAACAGTACTAAATGAACAATTTCAATCAGTTTTCACATCTAAATCCCCTGTTTCTCTTAAATTCCTTGCTGATATGAAGGTACAGGATCAGGCAGATACAGGAAGAGAGGTTCCCCACACATCATTTAGCCCCCATAACCCCATGTGTGATATTGATATCTCTGTAAAAGGTGTTGAGAAGCTCTAAAAAAACCTTAACCCCCATAAGGCTGCAGGACCTGACCAAATTAGACCCATTGTGCTGAAAAATACCAGTAAAGAATTAGCCCCTATAGTGTCCAAACTTTTCCAAAAATCACTGCAGTCCAGCACTCTACCAGACATCTGGGAAATGGCGAATGTGGCCCCTGTCTTTAAAAAAGGTAGCAAGTCAGACCCAGCAAACTATCGCCCTATCTCTCTTACCTGTATCTTGTGTAAAACCCTGGAACACATTGTCTCCTCCAGCATAACAAAGCACTTTACTAGATCAAACTTATTCTATGAATTGCAGCATGGTTTCCGAGAAAAAAGGTCATGTCAATCCCAACTATTAATGCTTATAGATGATATCCTACAGTCAGTAAATCAGAGAGGCCAAGTAGACTTAATCCTTCTTGACTTCTCTAAGGCCTTTGATATGGTCAACCATGAAAAACTTCTGTATAAGCTGCATTTCTACGGTATAAGGGGTCAAACTCTTAAATGGATCAAAGGTTTTCTTGACAACAGGTCACTGTCCTCGGACCTCTCTTATTTCTTAAATACATCAATGACCTTCCTGAATATGTCCAATCCTCTAAAGTCCGCCTATTTGCTGATGACACGGCCATCTATCTATCTCTGACTGTCGCTTCTCATTCTAGCTTACTGCAACACGACTTACACCAACTTGAACAATGGGAGACAAAATGGGACATGCAATTTAATCCATCAAAATGCACGCTTATCCAAATCACAAAACGAAAAACAGTCATTCCAACACAATACCTTCTACATAACACCACATTAGAAACAGTTTCATCTGCAAAATACATTGACATTACAATATCAAATGATCTAACATGGAACAAACACATAAACTACATCACAACAAAGGCAAATCAAACACTTGGTTTTCTACGCCGAAACATCAAGGTTCACTCAGAAAGGTTAAAGTCAACTGCATACAAGACACTTGTTAGGCCCCAGCTCGAGTATAGCTCCACGGTCTGGTCCCCCTACACAGGAACTCTCATTGACCAGATAGAGTCCGTCCAGAGAAGGGCTGCTAGGTGGGTCAAACATGACTTTGGCCGTATGTCGAGTGTCACTGACATGTTGACTTCCCTTCAATGGAGGCGCCTTGACCTTCGGCGTATTGACCAACGTCTGGTCATGTTTCACAACATCTTGCATGACCAGGTGGCTATCCCTTTCCCAAAATATATCGTCCCTCTTACAAGATCATCAAGAACATCCAATCCCCATGCATTCCAACAAGTCCAAACTGAAATTGATTACTATAAATATTCATTTTTCCCTAGAACAATAGTCCACTGGAATGCTTTACCACCTGATATCATGAACTTGTCTGGCCCCGAGTTCAGTCTGGCTGTAAGCCGGATTGAACATACGTCTCCCTAAAATATCTTCTCTATTTTTAACCTGTTTTTAACAATATACTCATTTCCATTACTTTTATATTCTTTTATTTCAGTTCTTTTACTAACATTCTTGTCAGTTGACTCGCGTCAAGTCTGGGTCCCCAGCAGGGGTTTGACTATATGGAAGATAGATAGATAGATAGATAGATAGATAGATAGATAGATAGATAGATAGATAGATAGATAGATAGATAGATAGATAGATAGATAGATAGATAGATAGATAGATAGATAGATAGATAGATAGATAGATAGATAGATAGATAGATAGATAGATAGATAGATAGATAGATAGATAGATAGATAGATAGATAGATAGATAGATAGATAGATAGATAGATAGATAGATAGATAGATAGATAGATAGATAGATAGATAGATAGATAGATAGATAGATAGATAGATAGATAGATAGATAGATAGATAGATAGATAGATAGATAGATAGATAGATAGATAGATAGATAGATAGATAGATAGATAGATAGATAGATAGATAGATAGATAGATAGATAGATAGATAGATAGATAGATAGATAGATAGATAGATAGATAGATAGATAGATAGATAGATAGATAGATAGATAGATAGATAGATAGATAGATAGATAGATAGATAGATAGATAGATAGATAGATAGATAGATAGATAGATAGATAGATAGATAGATAGATAGATAGATAGATAGATAGATAGATAGATAGATAGATAGATAGATAGATAGATAGATAGATAGATAGATAGATAGATAGATAGATAGATAGATAGATAGATAGATAGATAGATAGATAGATAGATAGATAGATAGATAGATAGATAGATAGATAGATAGATAGATAGATAGATAGATAGATAGATAGATAGATAGATAGATAGATAGATAGATAGATAGATAGATAGATAGATAGATAGATAGATAGATAGATAGATAGATAGATAGATAGATAGATAGATAGATAGATAGATAAATAGATAGATAGCTAGATAGATAGCTAGATAGATAGATAGATAGATAGATAGCTAGATAGATAGATAGCTAGATAGATAGATAGATAGAAGTTTTTTTCCCATGGTTTACCTGTACTTCTAATTACTGATTGTTAAATAGTTAAAATTACGTCATCTGTAAGATTGATACTGACCGGTCTCTCCCCTGTGGCACAAGATGATATATAAAGGGGTTGTGTCAGAAAAAAAAATTCTTTGATAATAGTTTGGGAAGTTTGTGTTATATGGGTATTATACTTGATTTATGATTATTTAAGGACTATGGTGCCAGTGTCCAGTGAGGGCAGATCTAAAGTTACATACAGTAGATCGAATCATACTTTATACAAAACATCAAATTATGTCTTCTAAACATTCATTCCTAAAGATGAATTATTAAATTTGAATTTTTTAAAACAGATCAGTCAAGTGATAGTATGAAAGATGTTTTTTTTTTTTATAGAAATTGCACAATTTCTACTCTATGCTGCAAAAAATTATCAACTTTGTTTACATTAAAATATCTATTTTCTATTAAAATCATTCTAAAATGGAATCATCATCCTATATTTTTCACACTTGCATGCAGCACTCATGGATTATGATTTTGACCTCATTGTATCCACTTTTTAATAAATGCATCATGGAGCTACGTCAAGTTTGACCATGCAGTTTACCTGAAAATCTATCCTTAGTACAAGAGGTTTATAAACGGAGCACGGATCTAACTTTTCAAATATATTTTAAATTTAATGATATCACGATTTAGTTTAATTAGTTGGTGAAATTCATCCGTTTTTTTTTTCATATTTATTGAGCACCCTTTCCCTGTTTTGTCCGCGTATTTAATAGAAAGGAAATTACAACTTTATAACAAAATTATTATTTATCTAAATACAATTCTTAAGAAGGCTTATAAAAGTTCTTGACTGTGTGAAACTGAGATGAACTTCTCGTCTGTACAAATATTGGGTTAGGTTTAGAATGCATTTGATATGTTTTTCATGTAATATGTATAAGAAACAATGAATTTAATTTGATAAATATGTGAACTAAATTCCCTTCCCATCTTGGTGGTTCTTATTTTTGTCGTTGTCGGCTATTGTAGGAAGTATTTTAGACCGTACCCTACACAGGAAGTGGACAAACATGCCGGCCATGGAAGAGTAAGTTTAGCGATGATTTTTACATTTTCTGTTACTTAAACTTTAATACCTTGATTGTGATGTAAATTTTCTACTTTTTAATTTCAGAAATAAACCAATTAGCTGGGCGGAACAGGTTGAAGCTGGAGAAGATCGTAAGTAAACAATACAATATGGTTTACATTTTATATTCGCACTCAATGTAGTTCGTAACATAGGTGCTCGGCGCTTTGATTGATCACTACCACCGTCCACCTCCGCCTCACCCACTCTTTGATTGATCATTACCACCGTCCAACCCCCGCCTCGCCCACTCTACAACTCTCCTACCTCTCAAAACCATGTAAACTGCAATATTTTTCATTTGAAACCTGTTTTGATATTTGGTATGCCTTGTTCTCATATTTTCGGGGGTTCTCATATTTTCGTGGCGTCATGTTCAGGTGTGAATGACAGCTCGTGCGATTGATTGGACTCTCCAAAAAAACATCAAGTTTTCGCCGACACTTATTTCTATAAATAACTACCCTAAGAATTCGTACTAAACATATTAAACACATAAATAAAAATCTGTTAATGTCATTACAATTATAATTTTTTCTTTTCTCATTTCTAAACGTTATTTTCAACTACACAGCAACAAAAAAGAACAAAAAATGTATCTTCGCCTTAAAATTCATCACCGGAACTTATACCTAACTTAAACCAATGTCCCGAAATATAATGAGTGCAGTATAGAATTTGTGCGCACGCAACGTAATTACCGAAACGAGGCCATCCAATCAAAATCCCCGAAAATATGAGACAGATTCCGAGCGACACAGACTACCGATAGTGAAAGTAGAAAGATTAGTATTTCTTACTGAAATAGTTTATTTTCGTATTTTAAACGGTTCCTTTTTTGTTTGTCATAGTTTTCACTCACTGTTGATGTTTTTTGTCTTCCATTTACTATTAATTTAAAAACGGTGGCTTTAATTTAAAACATTAAACCCCAAAAAATACGGGTCAACGGCATATATGCTTTCAGTGTAAGAAATTAGGATTTGAATCAACTAGGCTGATTGGAATATTCACTAGCCCAAAAGACATTTCACTAGCTTAATTCATTTGTTCAAAACAGTTGTTGATATTGCCTCTGAAAATACAGTAGCCTGGTCGGGCTTGTAACTATGAAAAGTTGGTAGCCAGAGGAGAAATTTAGTAGTCTGGCTATCAGACTACTGCTAATTTCGAACACTGTGTTTTAAATTAATTTTCCTTCATTTCCCACAAAAAAAAAAATGGTACATATATTATAATGATATGTATTTAGAAAAGGTATGAAACATTGCTATCTGTCCAGACACATGGTACTGTAGTGAAGACAATTTAGGTAATTTTGATAGATTCCTTGACGAGCCTCAGATATAAGTGTCAATAATATCAGAAATAAACAAACTAGTTTGTTAGTTAGGGATTATCAGATCATCTCAAAGTTATTTTGCACTTTCAAAAAGGTATGTAGACATTGATCTTATGTACTTAAAGATCCTGTAACTCAATTTTTATAGTTTAATCATAAATATAATGCTCAATTGAAGATTTATCAATATTATATTGTAAGTTCCATAAAGCATTATTTGTAAAGATATTACTGAATTTACATTTCATGTGTTAATAAAAGGAGGTAATTAGAAATTTATTTTCTATAAAGTCTAAGTCAAATTTTTAAATAAGAAATGAATGCATATATTTTAATGATTACATATAATGTGGACAAATATTTGCTGTACATATTTTACATATTCTTCGATGTTTGAAAATTGTTTTAGAAGCATGATTTTATACATATCTAAAATTTCACTCAGTCTCTGGTGTATAATTATGTTCGCCCATTTGGTCTCTTTCCTGTGGCGAGGGTAAACAAACCCAAACACACACACGTGGTAACAACCTTTATTACAACATAAAAGATCTTTTAAAGATTTCCAAATAGAAAATATAAATTTGACCTTACGCCTACCTTTGTTACCAATATTTGTATCAGAGACATTATCCGTGGTGGAGGGGATAGAGTCGATGACTTCTAATCCAGTTACCTCTCTGGCCTGGGTTCGATCCCCGGGAGATGCTTTGGTAGTTTAGCGCGGAGGAAGGTAGTCTACTATCTAGTACTGGTGTAGCTCTCCAGGAACGATGGTTAGGAAACTACCCGCCTATATGACTGAAATACTGTTGGGGAAAGGCGTAAATAGAAACAAACAAAAGAGAAGTTATCTATGTCTCTGTTTGTATGTTGTAATTGTTGCCTTAAGTAGGTTTGCATTGAAATCTCATGTGTCTTGGCATTCACATATCACAAAGAAAAAAACGAACTAAACACAAAGGCATGGGAAGTACAGTAAAGATTTTATGAGCCATTATGTTTATATAAAATTATGTTTGTTTTAAAGGTTCACTGCCTCCAGCCTCTGAAGATTTTGATGAGCAAAATAGTATTAAAACTATCACAGAATACAAGTTCAATGATGATGGTAAAATAGTCAAGGTATTTTGTATTCTTACTTTCTTGTCTTTTTATGGTTGCAAGTAGTAGTACCTAAATTTAATTTCTAACAGCCTTACTGATATCCTTTTATAATTGTTAAACAAAATTAATGTAAATTGGTGTGTGTATTATACCTTAAACCTTAAGTTAAAAGTTTATCTGTGTTAAAAAATAAATTTCCTTTTTGACTTGTGAAATCCTTTTTGAATATTAAAGTTTCAATTAAAGGGACTCCACTGAGGTTTTTTGAAATGATGGAACTGAAAATATTTTTCCAGATAATTGTACCTTTTGATGTAGGTTTAGACCACTAATCTTTTTGCACAATTTCAGGTCATTCGCGCACTTCGTTTTTTCCAGAACAATTATTCAAATTGTAAATATATGACCAAAAATGAAAAGCGTTTAAACCCTTTTTACACAAATCGAGCTAAGAAAAGCATAAAAATACGATTTTCAATTTATTTTGACTATCTTTGCATATATTTCAGTTTAAAGTGCCCCAGCTCATTTATGTACGAAAATTCGAATTTTATGTTCTTCGGCTTTTAGACCTCAGTGGAGTCGCTTTAAGCCTGTATTTTCATTAGACATACAGTCAAACCTCGATTATTCGAATTGCTTGGGATAGAAAATTTAGTGGTTTGAATAATTAAAATCCTAATATATATATATAGTGATAGATGACAACTATTCAATTTTGCTTGGCATAAGCAATCATAGCAATGGTAGCATTAATAATAAATTAATCAATCAAGAAAAATAAATAAACAAAGGATGCGCAAACAATTTTTTTTATTGGTAATGAAGACATAACTTCAATCATTTATTGTGTCGCCTCTACGTAGTAGTGGCAACATATAGGGATCACTTCTCTGTTGTCTGTCTGTCCATCTGTCTGTCCGTCAATCACAAAACTTGTCTGGACTACTCCTCATAAACTACTGGTGCAATTTCATCCAAACTTTACAGGAATGATCAGTACCAAGTCGAGTTGTGCACTGTCCCTCTGTCACAAAACTTGTCCCAACATGAAATTGGCCATCATGAGGCGACACATGCGATCACTGATCGCTCTTGTTCCACATTATGTAGCGCTGCACATATACATGAAAATTATTGCTGTCATCTTCAAGCATTAACAGTAACAACATCGGATATGGTGCAGAATTTTTATCATAGGCAGTATTCATGTACATATTCACAATAAGTATATATTTTGCCAATGGAATTTATTTTTCAATATTCATATACAAAATTTATATGTAAGTGTTTGCTTGTTTATTTATTTCTTTACTTTAATTGTTTATTTTCATCTTTTTAATTGAATACTCTTAACTGTCCAATTATTGAAAGAGAAAACAGTGGCAAACAAGGACTTTTCGGTAATAAATGTTTAAAACACGTTTAATTATAATTTTTGCCAAAATGCACAGTCAGCGAGTGGATCAGCGGCAATAAGTCTGGCTTCGAATAATAGGTGTGAAATTCTGTCATAATTGTATATTTGTGACCGAAATTTTACTTCGAAAAATATGAGGTATTCTGATAAGCATTTTGAATAATACAATCGTATTTATATTGATTTGTTTAGAGATAAAATGAGACTGCTGATCTACTTCAGATAATACTGGGTATTCAAATAAAGGGTTGTCGAAGAGCTAGGGTCAGACTTTATATAAACTTTGGCATTTTATGTGATTACTCAATAATGCAATAAGACATCAGATTTAATGGTCTATAAGGGCAGTGTTATGATGTAACCAGTGGCCAATGTAAAGACCCATTTCCTATCCAAAATATAAAAAAATTAACCCTAAATTGAAAAATAAAATATCAAAAGCAGCCAAAGAAAAAGTTTTTAAAAGATATCAAGACACAGTTTGGAATACTTGATTATCATCAGTCACGGCAATGCACAGTTGAAAGAAATTGCCTTTAACAGGTGAGCATGCTGTGCTCTTGTTCAGATTTTTATGCCCCTACAAAGTGGGGAGCATAATATAGTCTTGCACTTGTCCGTATGTCTGTCTGTACATCCCGAAATCCTGTGAACGCAACTCCTCTTAAACCAGATGGCAGGTTTTGCTTAAACTACCAGAGATTAACAACCATAATGTGTAGATGATAGTGTAGGAAGGAATTTTCGCTGTGACCAAATTTAACAGAAGTATGGCCCTTTGTTGATTTTTTCACTATATACTATGTAGAAATTTTGTGAACGCAACTCCTCTTAAACCAGATGGCAGATTTTGCTTAAACTTTCAGGGATGAACAGCTTTAATGTGTAGATGGTAGTAAAAAGGAAGGAATTTTTGCTGTGACCAAATTTAACAGAATTATGGCCCATTGTTGATTTTTTCACTATATACCATATAAATAATTGAACATATAAATTTTACATTTGTAATTTAATTTAACATGTACATAAGGTTACCTGTAGATCATTTTAGGTATATGTACAGAAATGAAACAGTGGAATGAAAAAGTCCACATAAAAATCTTACATACAGATATGCATGCTCTTGTTTTACGAGCACATCTGCACAGTGGGGGCATCCGTATCCTTTGGACACAGTTATAGTTTAAAATAATATTGCAGGTGGTAAAGACCTACAAAGTTGAAAAAAGAAGGGCTGCAAAGACAATTGCAAGAAGAAAGGTATGGTTTTATTTTATTGTTTTTCTTTTGTTTGATGATAAAATATTTTGAAGTTGGCCAGTCATCAAATTTAGCACTGGCCTGGTGGGCCATGGCCAATGAAAATTAGTTCGGGCCAGTGAAAATTTTAAGAAATTATAGTAAAATATATAGTAGAATAAATTCAAAACTGGAATTCGGGCTATTAAATTCAAAATCTTAAATTCATTGACTGGTTAACAAAAATTTATATTGTTCATGACTCAAATGGATTCTAGAAGATTATTTATGGAAATAACTAATTGTCCATGTAGACACATTCTAGAAGCCAGGGCTAATCTAGTGCTTGTGAAGAATCTGAAATCTTAAGTCATATTTTATTGCAAGGAATCAAATAATTTTTGTCACACTTCCATTCTTTGAAAATTGTAAGTGGGGTATACTGGCTTGAGGCTGTCTGTCAGTCTGGTAGTCGGTTGTCTGGCCAAATTTGTTGTCTTCTGTAAAACTGCTCAACAAATTTCAAATTAAATTTCTATAAAATTTGCAAAATCTTTTTTATTAATGAATGGATTTTATTCTTATTACGCTATAAGAACGTGTTGGACCTTCATGCGATGTAACACAAACCTTCTGCAACCATTATTTTTTCTTGACCATACATGTATAAGAAGACTTATCTAAACTAAAACATTGATTGATCCTTAAGGTTGTTTTTGACTTCTTGAAATTTGCTACAATTTTCTTATGTTTTAGGAATAAAAGCTGTTGTGTGTGTGTGGGAGGGGTGTTATGACATTCATTTATAGTTCTAGTTTTTACTGAAACGTCAATTCAAAACTTTATAATTTTTCTAGTTATATGCTTCTTTTTTTGTAAAGAATTAATTATCGTGTTATTTAAAAACTTTCCTTTAAGATATCGTATTTTAGCACCTCAATTTTTTTATATTTCTCATAGAATTGGAGGAAGTTTGGTGCTGCTGAAAATGATCCACCAGGTCCGAATCCTGCCAACACCATCGTACAGGTGGAGGAAATCAATATGCAGATCATTCTAAACAAAGAGGTACATATATATATATATATCTTAAAGTGATATTAATATGCCAAGGGTATATAATTATGTGTAAACAGGTGATAGTCGAAATAAGTTTACATTTTGCCATAATTCTTAAAAATTTTATGATTTAATTTGCATGAACAATAAATAACTCACAGAGCCAAAGAAAATTTTTGTAAATAATATCTAGCAAACTAACCTGTAACTTTATAAAAGGAACGGGACTTTCCTTTTTATTTTAGGCAGATTTATATATTTTTTATCATAAACATAATTTTTTACATATTCCACCATTATAACTGAAATCTGTTGAAATACATAGTCAATTCAGCTCAACTTGACCATGAAAAAAAAAAATTCAAGCAGTTTCTTGGCAACTGTTTGTTACGTAGAAGTTTTAACTAATTTCCATTTCATTGCAATCTGGTAATCTATTTAATACTTGTTTGGTTTTCTTTTTGCAATAAATTCTTGTTCCATTAATGTAGAATAAAAACCAGGAACCAGAAGAAGATCCCCTGGCTAAACTGAAGACACAGAAGTTGGTATCCTGTCGTATTTGTAAAGGCGACCATTGGACCACAAAATGTCCCTACAAGGATACCCTAGCACCACTACAGGTAAATAAACCATTATTCTACTTAAAGATACTGGCCCAGTTGTTCAAAACTTTTGTTAAATATTTAATAATGAAATCACTGTTAAATTAACAAACGATTGTTAATTTCTGTGTGAAATTTTGTTGTAAAGCAATCTTGTTGTTCAAACATTGTTAACGCTAAATATGTGTTAAATTAATAAAGTGTTGTTAATTACTTTGTTAAATATGTTTGTTAAAAAAATCAGTTGTTAAGAAGAAATTAGTGTTATTTTTTTTGTTAAAACATAAAAAATGTAACATGGAACAATAAACACCTTTAATGATGGGCTTTAATAAGTGTGTGTCAGTTACGATAAGTGCGAAAGTCCAATAATTCTATCATCGCATTAGCTCATTGATTGTTGGACGTGTGTGTCATGCGTTATATTTCATTTTTAGCTCGACTTTTCTATGAAAAGGGGAGCTATCCTACTCGCCCCGGCGTCGGCGTTAGCGTTGGCGTCACACCTTGGTTAAGTTTTTCGTACCACCCCACTTTATTTCAGAAGTATTACAAGTATGGCTTTGAAACTTACCATACTTGTTCACCATCATAACCTCCATCTACAGACAAGAGTACATAACTCTGTCAAGGTTTTTGACAGAATTATGGCCCTTTTTAGCTCGACTTTTCTATGAAAAGGGGAGCTATCCTACTCGCCCCGGCGTCGGCGTTAGCGTTGGCGTCACACCTTGGTTAAGTTTTTCGTACCACCCCACTTTATTTCAGAAGTATTACAAGTATGGCTTTGAAACTTACCATACTTGTTCACCATCATAACCTCCATCTACAGACAAGAGTACATAACTCTGTCAAGGTTTTTGACAGAATTATGGCCCTTTTTTGACTTAGAAAGTGTATTGAGCTTGGTTAAGTTTTTTGTACCACCTCACTTTATTTCAAAACCATTGGAGGTATTGCTTTGAAACTGACCATACTTGTTTACCATCACGACCTTCATCAACAGACAAGAGGACATAACTCTGTCAAGGTTTTTGACAGAATTATGCCCCTTTTTGACTTAGAAAATACATTGAATATGGGTAAAATCCACTTATTGCCTTAACCCTTTGAGATATTGCTTTGAAACTTTTAATGCTATTTCACATCATTACCCCCATCTGTACGCAAGAGAAGGTAACTCTGTCAGGGATTTGTTTTAAAAATTAAGGCCTTTTATCGACTTAGAATCTTGGTTAAGTTTTTTGTACCAGTCAACTTTTTGACTGAACTGGTTGAGATATTAAATTGAAAGTTGGAATACTTGTTTAACCATCATGGTCCCAAACATGGGCAGGAGAAGGTAATTCTGTTAAGGATTTTATTTGAATTATGGCCCTTTTTGACTTAGAAACTCAGTTAAAATTTTCATTCTTGTCCACTTGTTGACCTAACCATTTGAGATATTACTTTGGAAGTTGGAGTTCTTATGTGCCATCATGAGACCTATCTGTAAGCAAGAGAAGATAACTCTGTGAAAATGTTTCTTGATTTGTACTTAGAAATTCCTAGTTAAAGTCTTGTGTGCCCTTAACTGTCAAAGTTTGTTTTATAGGCAAGCACTAAAAAAGTCGAGCGCGCTGTCCTTCTGACAGCTCTTGTTTGACTTAGAAAGTGTATTGAGCTTGGTTAAGTTTTTTGTACCACCTCACTTTATTCAAAACCATTGGAGGTATTGCTTTGAAAACTGACCATACTTGTTTACCATCACGACCTTCATCAACAGACAAGAGGACATAACTCTGTCAAGGTTTTTGACAGAATTATGCCCCTTTTTGACTTAGAAAATACATTGAATATGGGTAAAATCCACTTATTGCCTTAACCCTTTGAGATATTGCTTTGAAACTTTTAATGCTATTTCACATCATTACCCCCATCTGTACGCAAGAGAAGGTAACTCTGTCAAGGATTTGTTTTAAAAATTAAGGCCTTTTATCGACTTAGAATCTTGGTTAAGTTTTTAGTACCAGTCCACTTTTTGACTGAACTGTTTGAGATATTAATTTGAAAGTTGGAATACTTGTTTACCATCATGGTCCAAAACATGGGCAGGAGAAGGTAATTCTGTTAAGGATTTTATTTGAATTATGGCCCTTTTTGACTTAGAAACTCAGTTAAGATTTTCATTCTTGTCCACTTGTTGACTTAACCATTTGAGATATTACTTTGGAAGTTGGAGTTCTTATGTGCCATCATGAGACCTATCTGTAAGCAAGAGAAGATAACTCTGTGAAAATGTTTCTTGATTTGTACTTAGAAATTCCTAGTTAAAGTCTTGTGTGCCCTTAACTGTCAAAGTTTTGTTTTATAGGCAAGCACTAAAAAAGTCGAGCGCGCTGTCCTTCTGACAGCTCTTGTTCCTTCTCTCAGAAAGAAAAATCTTGTCTGTGCATTATCTAATTACATACAAATCTTTTTATGCCCCCGCCATATAATGGCAGGGGCATATAGTGTTACCCTGTTCCGTCATTCCGTCATTCCGTCCTTCCGTCATCATCAGTTTCCGTTCATTATCTTAATAACCCTTGCACGTTTTGAACTCAAATTTGACATATGGATATGTTATGAGAAAATACAGGTCAAGTTCAAATTTGGTCATGGGTCGATGATTTTTGGCAGAGTTATGCCCCTTTTACTTTGAAAATAATATGAAATTTTCAGTTTCCGTTCATTATCTCCCAAACGGTTCAAAACATTCAATTCAAAATTGACATATGGATATGTCATGAGAAAATACAGGTCAAGTTCGAAATTGGTCATGGTTCGATGATTTTTGGCAGAGTTATGCCCCTTTTACTTTGAAAATAATATGAAATTTTCAGTTTCCGTTCATTATCTCCCCAACGGTACAACACATTCAACTCAAACTTGACATATTGATATGTCATGAGAAAATACAGGTCAAGTACAAATTTGGTCATGGTTCGATGATTTTTGGCAGAGTTATGCCCCTTTTACTTTGAAAATAATATGAAATTTTCAGTTTCTGTTCATTTACTCCCCAACGGTACAACACATTCAACTCAAACTTGACATATGGATACGTCAAAGGAATGCGCAGGTCAAGTTCAAATTTGGTCATGGTTCAATGATTTTTGGCAGAGTTATGCCCCTTTCACTTTGAAAATAATATGAAATTTTTAGTTTCCGTTCATTATCTCCCCAATCGTACAACACATTTAGCTCAAACTTGACATATCGATACGTCAAAGGAAATGCGCAGGTCAAGTTCAAATTTGGTCATGGTTCGATGATTTTTGGCAGAGTTATGCCCCTTTTACTTTGAAAATAATATGAAATTTTCAGTTTCTGTTTATTATCTCCCCAACAGTATTAAACATTCAACTCAAATTTGACATATTGATACGTCAAAGGAATGCGCATGCCAGTTTCAAATTTGGTCATGGTTCGATGGTTCTTGGCAGAGTTATGCCCCTTTCACTTTAAAAAATAATATGAAATTTTCAGTTTCCGTTTATTATCTCCCAACAATATTACACATTCAACTCAAATTTGACATATGGATATGTTTTTTGGAATGCGCAGACCAAGTTCGAAATCTGGTCATGGTTCAATGATTTTTGGCAGAGTAATGCCCCTTTCACTTTGAAAATGATATGAAATTTACAGTTTTCTGTTCATTATCAATCCAACAGTGTTACATATTCAACTCTCAAAATTGACATAATGGATATGTAAAAGGAATGCGCAGGTCAAGTTGGAATTTGGTCATGGTTCGATGATTTCTTGGCGGAGTTATGTCCCTTTCACTTTGAAAATAATATATGATACATCTTAGGAATAAGCAGTTTAAGTTTGAATTTGGTCGTGGTTCAATGATTTTAGACAAACTTATCTTTCCTGAATGTTGGAAAAATTTTTGAACTTTCAGTTTCAGCACTCATCACTTTTGTGGAAATGTATATATAGCCATTATGTTGGCTACAAATATGCAATATGCTATTTTTAAAAGGTTAAGACTGAATAATTTCAGTGCCTTGAACATTGTATAAAAATGGTTTGTGTTAACATTGAAAAGTTTTAAGGGCTTTGAACTTAGAATGAAAAAAATAATTTGTGCAAACAAATTTGGAACTAAATATTATAACATTTGAAATTTTGGCTGCATGCGGGGGCATCCGTGGCATGATGACACATTTCTAGTTTTCATGAAAGATCTTATTTCATATGGACATTATTTTCATATAGATCCATATTTCGTATCATTCTGATACAAATATTATTTTAATAGAAATACATTTGTATTATTTCGGTATAGATCTTAATTCCATAAGGATATTATTATCATGCAACTTTCATATTCTCAGATCTTATATTTGTACCAATCTTAGTAGTCGAAAACAGACATTATTTTTATACAGATCTTATTTTCGTATATGACATGTACAAGTAGATCTTATTTTTGTGCAGATGTATCAATTCATACAGGTATTATTTTCTTACAGGTCTTATTTTCGTATAGATCACATTTTGAATAAAATCTTATTTTCGTACAAATATCATTGAACACAGGTTTTAATTGTTAATAGATTTTAATTTGGTATATTTTGTTTTGTCAGAGTTATGGCCCTTGACTTAATAAAAATTTGCAATTTTCAACTTGTGTTGCAGGTAGCTCAAAAAGTATTTGACATAGGGTCATGATACTTTACAGGAATGTTGATCAACATGAGAAGTTTAGCATCTGGGGTTTTGCTTGTGAATTAATATATGTTTTGTCAGAGTTATTGTCCTTGACTAAGTGAAAATTTTCAATTTTCAATTTGTGTCATGCGTACCTGAAAATGTATTTAACCTAGAGTCATGAAATTTAATAGGAATGTTGGTCAGCATATGTAGTTTTGCACCTTAGATTTTGCTTGTGGATTTATCCAGTATTTGTAGAGTTATTACCCTTGACTTAGTATAAATTTGCAAATTTCATCTTGTTCATGCATAGCTCAAAAAGTATTTGACCTGTAGGCTTGAAAGTGTACAAGAATGTTGGTCAGCATGTGTACTTATGCGCCATGGGGTTCGCTTGTGGATTTATTCAGTATTTGTGAGATCTTGCCCTTTACTTAGAAAAAAGATTTTTAGTTTTCAACTTGTGGCACATGCAGCCCAAAAAAATATTTGACCTAGAGTCATAAGATTAAACAGAGGAGTGATGGGGCACTTGTGTCCTGGACACATTTCTAGTTCTACTTGTCATGCATCAAGTTCCCTTAAATCTGATTGTAATTACGAGCAGATGAGTGGAATTTTCTATCTCTGCTTGCTTAGAGAGGCTCTAATGAGCTAATAAGAACACTCCACCAGGAATGCTAGAAAGAGCCTGAACATTGCCAGTGTGACTTAACAACCTCCCTTCTCCTGCCCCAATCAAAAGAGACAAAGCTATGACAGGTTATAATTTCAAGTTTACTTTAAATACCATTGATATACTAGCTCTTGGTTATTTTAGGAAACATTGGAAGGTGATAAGAAGAAACCAGAAGAGCCCGGTGCTCCAGTGCAGGCACCGTCCACACCTGCGGCAACCAAGCAAACAGGTAGTAAATATGTGCCTCCCAGTATGAGAGATGGGGCAAATAAAGGTCGTGGTGAAACGATGAAGTCTAGCAGAGGTAATTTTATATTTTGCTGATTTTTTTCAAATGCTTTATAATTGGTAAACTTTGCAGTGTTGATATGTTGGCGATTATAGTTGGTAAAAGTAGAAAAATAATATGAGGAAGTGAAAAATTAAATCAGCCCCAGTACTTCAGTCTTTCAGTAACCAGATGGATATCTATAACAAGTTATTTACAGGAAAATTTTGTTGGTAGTAATCTAACTTGAGGAAATCTGACTTTATATCCTTGTCACCTGGGTTTTGGGGGGGGGCTTATTTTATAGCTGTTATTTAGTCATATTCCCAATTTTAAAAATAGTATATTATTTTTCCAATCCAAAGAAAAAAAGTCCCAATTGAAAGTTACGAAATAGAAATATTGAAAAAAAAATCTAAAATCTTTGCAAACAAGGGCTTCTTCACTGTAATAGGGCTTAAATGTGTGAAGATGCCATCATAGACAGTAATTGTTTGCATCCATTGAATCACTTTGCAAAATTTCAGTCGTGCATTTTTTTGCCCAATTTTTAACAAAACACCGCTGAAATTCCTAATTCTATGTGTATAGGTTATGTTCCCTAAATCCTGGAAAAAATCCGTGGTCACAGATACCTGGCTTTCTTAAAGTGGTACTTTCTGGAAAGCACAATAGTTGTACTAGGTACCACAATGTCATTTTATGATAGCTGCAAAATTCAGCTTGCCCTGACCTCACACTAGCATCCTGATTTATGCATTTACAGTACATTTATGGAGCTCAATTTACATATTTTAAAAATTTAAGTTTTGAGAACAGGCAGTTTGCTTTTCTACCATCAGGTTATACCATTAACTATACTATGACGTTTTAAGCTTATCAAAGAAGCATTAGCACAGTATATAAACAAGTCTATGTCCTGTTGTCACAAGAGAGGTTCAAGTTGAAATATATAGGCTCCCAAGAAAGGTACAGTGATTGAAATAACATATACATGTAATCGCAAGACAGGGTATGCATTGAACTGTATAGGCCTGCAAGACAGCATACAGCGATTTTTGTGTCCCCTCTACGGAGTAGTGGCGACATATAGGGATCACTTCTTTGTCGTCTGTCTGTCCGTCTGTCTGTCCGAGCTCACTGAAATGACGATGTGGGGTGAATATCCATGTTCAATCCGTAAAGACGGTACTTGTGAGGAAAAAGGTGGCTTATGGGGTGCAAATACGTTGCTTATGGGGTTTTAGAGATCAAAGGAGATCAAAGAAAAAAACCCATGTCAACTCAGTAGGAACGTCCGTCCGTCCGTCACAAAACTTGTCCGGACTACTCCTCATAAACTACTGGTGCAATTTCATCCAAACTTTACAGGAATGATCAGTACCAAGTGTTGTTGTGCATATTATCAGCATTTTCCGGTTCAATGATTTTTGTCAGAGTTATTGCCCTTTAATAATTTTTAATTTTAAAGTTTGTCCGGACTACTTCTCTTATACCACTAATGCAATTTTAATGAAACTTTACAAGATTGATCTGTAGCTCAAGTCCTTGCGCATATTGCACGGGTTTTCCGGTTGAATGATTTTTGGCCGAGTTATGACCCTTTGATAAAAAGGTGTTTTTTTCTGTGTGTTGCCAGATACACAATAGCTTGTCCGGACTACTCCTCATTAACTACTGGTGCAATTTCATCCAAACTATACAGGAATGATCAGTACCAAGTCTAGTTGTGCATATTGTCAGCATTTTCCGGTTCAATGATTTTTGTCAGAGTTATTGCCCTTTAATAATTTTTATTTTTAAAGTTTGTCCAGACTAGTTCTCTTATACCACTAATGCAATTTCAATGAAACTTTACAGGATTGATCTGTAGCTCAAGTCCTTGCGCATATTGCATGGGTTTTTTGGTTGAATGATTTTTGGCCGAGTTATGGCCCTTTGATAAAAAGGTGTTTTTTTTCTGTGTGTTGCCAGATACACAAAAGCTTGTCCGGACTACTCCTCATAAACTACTGGTGCAATTTCATCCAAACTTTACAGGAATGATCAGTACCAAGCTAGTTGTGCACTGTCCGTCTGTCTGTCCTTGTGTCACAAAATTTGTCCCAACATGAAATTGGCCATTATGAGGCGACACATGTGATTACTGATCACTCATGTGTTTATATACTGTGATTAGGCTGCATCAATTGGTGTAACAGGCATTCTTCTTGTTGTTTATTTGCTTAATGTATAATTAATATGTTATACGTATTTTCATTGTGTCATCATTTTAGATGAGTCAGCAACTATCAGAGTGACCAACTTGTCCGAAGATACACGAGAGTCAGATCTGCAAGAATTGTTCCGACCATTCGGACCTATACAGAGAATATATCTGGCAAAAGATAAAAATACTGGTCAGTCAAAGGTATGTCAAGTGATATTTTATACAAAGAAAAGAGGGTAGATGTGCCCCATTCTGCTTAGAAATACTTTGTTCTATCAACAACTGGTCAGGGCTCGACACTAACGATGGTCCGTTAGCCCGAGGCTACCTATTTTCCCCAAGGACTACCCGAGTTTCCAAGCTGGGTATCCCGTCCGGCTACTCAAAATTTCAGTGACCTGATGTCTCTAAATTCACTAAAAATAATTAATAAATAAACATTTTTTAGGCTATGATTCAAAACGAAAGATAAATTCATCATACTAGTAAATAATTAGCCGTTGGGTCACTAGTGTCAGTCACAGCAGACGCATAATAGATTCTATTTAATCTCTATAAAGTTGCCAAAAGTGAAACCGGAAATCCAACTTAATTGCCGATTTTTCCAGCCTAATTATGCCCCCATTTCGAAGAAAAGGGGGTATATTGCTTTGCACTTGTCGGTCCGTCGGTCCGTAGACCAAATGGTTTCCGAGTGATAACTAAAGAACCCTTAGGCCTAGGAACTTCAAACTTGGTATGGTGATTGGTCATGACCAGTAGATGACCCCTATTGATTTTGGGGTCAAAGGTCAAGGTCACATTGACCTTGTAAGCAAAAACGGTTTCCGATCAATAACTAAAGAACCTTAAGGCCTAGGAACTTCAAACTTGGTATGCTGATTGGTCATGACTAGTAGATGACCCCTATTGATTTTGGGGTCAAAGGGTTAAAGGTCAAGGTCACATTGACCTTGTAAGCAAAAACAGTTTCCGATCAATAACTAAAGAACCTTAAGGCCTAGGAACTTAAAACTTGGTATGGTGATTGGTCATGATCAGTAGATGACCCCTATTGATTTTGGGGTCAAGGGGTCAAAGGTCAAGGTCACATTGACCTTGAAAGCAAAAACGGTTTCCAATCAATAACTAAAGAACTTTAAGGTCTAGGAACTTCAAACTTGGTATGGTGATTGGTCATGATCAGTAGATGACCCCTATTGATTTTGGGGTCAAGGGGTCAAATGTCAAGGTCACATTGACCTCTTGGGTAAAAACGGTTTCTGATCATTAACAAAAGAACCCTTAGGCCTAGGAACTTCAAACTTGGTATGGTGATTGGTCATGACCAGCAGATGACCCCTAATGATTTTGGGGTTAAGGGGTCAAAGGTCAAGGTCACATTGACCTTGTAGGTAAAAACGATTTCTGATCAATAACGAAAGAACCCTTAGGCCTAGGAACTTCAAACTTGGTATGGTGATTGGTCATGACCAGCAGATGACCCCTATTGATTTTGGGTCAAGGGTCAAAGGTCAAGGTCACATTTACCTCTTAGGTAAAAACGGTTTCCGATCAATAACTAAAGAACCCTTAGGCCTAGGAACTTCAAACTTGGTATGGTGATTGGTCATGACCAGTAGATGACCCCTATTGATATTGGGGTTAAGGGGTCAAAGGGCAAGGTCACATTGACCATGTAGGTAAAAATGCTTTCAAATCAATAACTTAAGAACCCTTTGGCCTAGGAACTTCAAACATGGTATTGTGATTGGTCATGACCAGCAGATGACCTATTGATTTTGGGGTCAAGGGGTCAAAGGTCAAGGTCACATTGACCTTGTATGTTAAAACGGTTTCCGATCAATTAACTAAAAACGCTTAGGCCTAGGAACTTCAAACTTTGTATGATGATTGGTCGTGACCAGCAGATGACCCCTATTGAGTTTTAGGTCAAGGGGTCAAAGGTTAAGGTCATGACCAGTAGATACTTGATAACCCTTATTAATTGTTTGATCACTGGGTCAGAAGTCATGCATAATAACCTTTTCACATGACTAATTGGCTGCTGATAGGGGGCATACATGTTTTACAAACATATCTTGTTCAATAGAATTCTTTGTCTATTAAACATTTCAATGAAAATATTTGCTCATATTGGGTATTCAAGGGTTTAAACTTAGAAGAATATGATTTGTTGATTGATGTAAATCACACTGACAATGATAACCAAAATAAACGTGTTGTCTGAAATAGATCTGATTTCGGATGTAATTTATTCGGACATGAAATAATTGATTTGGAAAAAATCTCTTTATAAAAAAAGAGAAGAAAAATGTTTAAATCTCTTTAAAAAAGAGAAAAGAAATATTCTAAAGTATTTGTAATTGTCTTTGCCATAACTTCACAATGTTGTAAGCACTTCTTAATCATGTACAAGCAAATGTAAGAAATAATGCCAATACATGTATATAAAGAAGAAAAAATGTTAACAAATACTTATACCCTAGGCATAAAAAACTAAGGCAATATAGTTTGATTAAAAATGGCTTTACATTTCTAATTTTGTGTTTAAAATCAGGGACAACAGATATTAACTAATGTCCCTATTTAAATCTTCTGACAGTTAAATAACTGAATTACTAGCACTAGTAAAAATTTGTTATTCTGATATTTTGTTGTTTTATGTCTGACAAAATAAGTTTGTAGAATAAATCAATTAGAGTAAAGACAAACATATTTTGTTCTTGTCCAAGCTTTTTACTTCTGTTTTGAATTTAAAAACACATCTAAAAGGTCGTACATTATCTATACCTGAAAAGTAGATTTGTAAGCTCTATTGAAATATTTTTTAATTCAAAAGCCAGGTAATATATAAATTTAAAACTGACATACTTATTTAGCTAATATTGCCAATATATTCTCCCCTTCCCTATAGGCTGTCAATAATATAAGCTGAGATGATTGCCTATCAATTTTATTTGCAACACACCTTAGTAATTCCTGGCTCGAACCCTGTACCTGTAGGTAATGTCTGGCCTTTCAAAACCTATTGACTTTTGTGTGTCACACTGCCATATTTCATTACAAAAATATGTAAAAAAAAGTTGATGATGACTTTGAAGAGCTCAGAGGCTAGCCGGAACATACATCTCATGCAGAATAAAGCTTACAAACTTTTACTAGATCTTATATGATTTATCTATTGGTGATTTTTTTCAAATAAATTTGAAGAGATCTCATGCTATTGTTTTCTTATCTTCAGATACATACACTCAAAATGCATTTGAATAGAATAAGAAACATTTTTTTATGTTTTACAATGAGGACTACCTAGATTTGCCAAGGACTACCTGATCCTCAAAGTAGGTAGTCCTTCTGACTACCCCTAAAAAAAGTTAGTGTCAAGCCCTGCTGGTTTGCACATGCTTGTAATGTCCATATGTTTTGCATCTGAATTATTCCTTTACCAGTGTTGCTGAAATAATATTATTATTAATGTCAGAACTTAAAAATAATATTAATGATAGGCCTTTCCCATCATTTTGGTACTTTTGCCAATGCTTGTTGCAAATCTCCCATTTGATAATGTTTGCCATTTAGAATATCTATTCTTGGTATTGGGAACCTCTTCTTTAATTGACTGCATGTAACATAATGTTTATAAAAACTTGATATAAATAAGCTCATTATTTCATAACCATGTTGTAATGATATTTGCCTTGAATGATGTGAGATCAATTTATTTGCATAGCCTTTCCCTTTTATATATATATATATATATATAGATGTATAACAAATATTAATGTTTTATTTCAGGGTTTTGCTTTTATCAATTTTCACAGAAGGGAAGATGCTGCACGTGCTATAGCTGGTGTGTCAGGGTTTGGATATGATCATTTAATTCTCAATGTTGAATGGGCCAAGTAAGTGAAACTATCTTTACTATATATTATTATACGCAAGCAAAGTTGTAAGGATATACTGGTTTGAGGCTGGTTGTCTGGCTGTTTGTGTGAGTGAACTCCTCTATAAACCTGTCAACCAATTATAATGAAATTTGAAGGAATAATTATTACGATATGCACCTGTCATAATAAATTTGAAATTGACCCATATGTGACCTTGACTTGACCTAGGTTTGCTGAAATTGGCCCCTCTCCATAAGTCGTACCACCATTCCTGTAAAAGAGGGGAAAAAAACAAAAACGACACTAAGCAGATGTCTTCACACACAACACCTGGGCCAAGGTAATACATGGAGAGAAAAAAAGTCTTGTTGTGGGAGCATCCATGTTCTGTGAACACATTTCTAGTTTGAATCAAAAACGCTTGTCTTAACAGTGACATTGTAAAAATTCCCCCTGCCCCCAAATACATCTGATCTGGGGGGTTTGACATAATCGTTGTAGTGTACTTAACCTCCACAGTAACTCGGAAGTGAGGGGGACAGTTGAGTGTGAAAACCAGTTTCCCTGTATGTTCCTGTTGCTGGTTATCCACCCTCCAGCTGCCCTCTGAATAGTAAACCACTGTTACAGAAATGAGCCACGTCAGGACAAAACCAACATAATGCGTTTGTGACCAGCATGGATCCAGACCAGCCTGCTCATCCGCACAGTCTGATCAGGATCCATGCTGTTCGCTTACAAACCCTATAGCAAGTAGAGAAACTGATAGCGAACAGCATGGATCCTGATATGACTGCGCGGATGGGCAGGCTGGTCTAGGCTGGTCTGGATCCATGCTGGATGCAAACGCACTATGTTGGTTTTGTCATGACGCGGCTCAAATGTGTATTGTGATAACCTTTATAAAATATTTATGTGTGTTCAAGTTGGATATTAATTCTAATAATCTAATATATAGTTAAAAACATAATTTATTGTGTGGAAGATACATCATAAAGTTTTAAATTAAGATTGTAATGTATTATAACCCTGAATAAGAATTTTGGAAGAATTTTTTCCATTTTAATCCTGGTTTGTAAGGAGATATTTAAATGCTGTGAATATATTGTGTAAATTTTAACGTATTTATATTAATATTAGTTATATTTATTCTGAGAAATGAAATCCATTCTTACATTTGTCTTTTGTTATTTCTTTTCCAGACCCTCTGGCACAGCCTAGTAAAAGGTCAGACAGAGACAAGCTTTTGAATTGATAATTATTAAACATTGTGGGAAATTAACTTAATATTAAATAAAATTACAGTGAAGAGAGACAAATTGTGTTTATTGTTCCTTATTCAATGGATTTTTAAATTTGTTTTCACTCTGATGTTTTTGTCAGTTATAACAAATCTGTTTAGATATATCATGATGGTTGCTCAATGTTGTATTAAATGATGTTTTATGAATAACCAACTATTCAATTTCTTGGCATGTGATCTACTTATTGTCAAGGAGTAATTATGCCTTACCAGAAGATGGAGGTAACTAATCCAATGCTTTCCTGATTGAGCCACAAGAATGTATAATTAGTGAAGATGACTGACTAAGAATGACTTGTTTCTTGCTATTACAAGTTCAAACCTTGCTAAACACCAGAATTTTATCATGTTAGAAGGCTTTCATGCTTTCTAAAGAAAGGTTAGTGGTTCTACTTTAGTGCCAGCTTGTGAACGAAATAATGTAAAGAGGGAAACCAGAGATCTTCCTCAATCAGTAAAGCTCAGAAGTTGCCATATGGCATTACAATATCATTGTGACTGGAACAGCCAAACAAAGTATAAGAAAGATGTTTCTGTAATCTTTACAAAAAGGACAGCCACTACGTAATGTGCTATTCAATAATAGTGTTTATTTAGCATATAATGATAGGTCATTGCAACCATTTTAAGATCAGTTGTGAAAAGGACAGTAAGGCAATACATTTTTCTGTCTCAAATCATTATGTTATGATTTTTATGCTTCCAAAGGCAGGCATAGAATAATTGTAATGTATGTATGACCTTTCATAATGTTAAGCTTTCAAGATAAATTGGACAATTGCACAGAGACAAAATATTTGCAAGTTACATGACACATCCATTTTTTTCCACTATTAAAGTATCAAGGGAAACAATCCTAGCACAGAATATGCTGTGTAATTGCAACAGTTATAGAACATTTATCTATAGAGTTCTCTATGCACGTTGTTGATGAACTCGAGACGGCGATAATAGATAAATATCAATTCTCTGACAAAAGTCAGGGGAATTGCCCTACAAAGTAGAAATGGACGAAGAGGAAGGGGCCTATTTAAGGGCTACCTCATTTTATCGGGTAACTGTATGGTAAGGTGCTCATTGACCGCTGTACAGTGATTGCTGAATGCTCCTTAGAAATTGCAGGATTGTAAATTATCACCATTTTGTGCTTCAAAATTAACCCTTTACAATGTACCTTAATTTGCCGATGAAATCTTATTAAGCATAGACTGCACACAAACAATTCTTTCAGAACCGCCCGGTTAGCTCAATAGGTAAAGCGTTTATTAATTGTGATTCTCGGACCGTGCACGTCACTTCCGTTGTGAATGATCACGTCTACGGTCATTCGCATTGAACCTCTGCTATAACATGTGTTTACTGCGAAAGTGAAGGCAACTAGTAAGGGTTAACTGTTTTATCGCCTGCCTAGGAAAGGCTTAGTGGCTGAACTGTTCTCTGGAGCATTCAATGTGACCTACTGTCGTGATCCGGGGTGTAAACTACCACCACCACCACACAAATTCTTTCACCGGTATAGCAAGGTTTTTGTGTGATAAATGCGCAGCTTAAATATGTCTTTATTCTTTAATTTACACACAACTCAAGTCACAAAATACCTAAACCTAAACACCGAGTTATCTACCTTGTATATACATTTTTGCAGTTGCTTAAATTTCTATTTTGCACTTAAAATTGGTTAGGCAAATTGGTATCATTATATGTAACTAGAACTGATAGCTTTAGTCTGTGCAAATCCATAATGTATTTCAAGTTCTTCAAAGTTTGAGGCTTAGATCTCCTAATTATACCCAAAAAACGAAGTGTGTGTGTGTGGGGGGGGGGGGTATATAGGAGTCACCCGGTGGTCGGGCGGTTGGACGTCCGTTGCATTTTCCTTGTCCGGAGCATAACTTGACGGGGCCTCCGTGGCCGTGTGGTTAAAGTCGCTGACTTGAGATCACAGGTCCCTCACCACTGTAGGTTCGATCCTCACTCGGGTCGAAATCTTTCATGTGAGGAAGCCATCCAGCTGGCTTACGGAAGGTCGGTGGTTCTACCCAGGTGCCCGCTCGTGCCTGAAATAATGCCCGGAGGGGCACCTGGGGTCTTCCTCCACCAATAAAGCTGGAAAATAATCGACGAAAAATCTCGGCGGGACGCTCTAGGATGACCCGACTTGAGTGGACGGTCGCCCATATGGGCTTTCCGGCGGCGACCTTAAATAAACGCATTAAAAAAAAACTTGAAGACTAATGGTTGGAATTCAATATAAATACATACAATGGTCAAGCAATTTGAGAGGAAGTGCAGTGCACAAGAACCATAACTCTATCTTGACTAATTAAAGAGTTATTGCTTTTGTTACTTTTCCTTGTCCGGGGCATAACTTGAAAACTACTGTTTGGAATTCAAAATAACTTCATACAATTGTCAAACACAATAAGGGGAAGTGCAGTGCACAAGAACAATAACTCTATCTAAAGTAATTACAGAGTTTTTGCCCTTTGTTGCTTTCCGTTGCTTTTTTTGTCCGGACCATAACTTGAAGACTAATAGTTTGAATTCAATATAACTACATACAATGGTCAAGCACATTGAGAGGAAGTGCAATGCATAAGCACCATAACTCTATCTTGACTAATTACAGAGTTATTGCCCTTTGTTACTTTTCCTTTTCCGGGGCTTAACTTGAAAACAACTGGTTGGAATTAAAACAACTTCATACAATTGTCAAACACAATAAGGGGAAGTGCAGTGCACAAGAACCATAACTCTATCTAAAGTAATTACAGAGTTTTTGCCCTTTGTTACCTTTCCATTGATTTTTTTTGTCCGGACCATAACTTGAAGACTAATAGTTGGAATTCAATATAACTACATACAATGGTCAAGCACATTGAGAGGAAGTGCAGTGCATAAGAACCATAACTCTATCTTGACTAATTACAAAGTTATTGCCCTTTGTTACTTTTCCTTGTCTGGGGCATAGCTTGAAAACTACTGTTTGTAATTCAATACAACTTCATACAGTTGTCAAGGACATTAAAAGGAAGTGCAGTGCACAAGAGCCATAACTCCATTTTGGCAAAATAACAGATTTACTGCCCTTTGATCCTTTTCCTTGTCAGGAGCATAACTTAAAACGTACTGGTTGGAATTCAACACAACCTCATACAGTGGTCAAGCACAATAAGACGAAGTGCAGTGCACAAGAACTATAACTCTATCTTCAGTTTTAGAATTATTGCCCTTTGTTTCTTTTCTTTGTCTTTCTGGACTTATTACAGAGTAATTCAATTAAACTTCAGCAATGGCCAACCACATTGAAAGGAAATGCAACATATAAGAACCACAACTATCTTTAATTGCCCTCAACCATAACTCTATATTTCAATTCTTTTACAAGGTATTCTGTTACTAGTAACATCCTCATTTCCGAAGCAGTCTTTTAGGGGTATTAATCACATTTAGTGATAGTTCTAGTTTTACTAGGAGTTACTCTGGCAAAGTTAGATGTAATATAACAAAATGTGTTTATACGCCCTGTTTGAAAAAAACGGGTCGTACATTTATTTCCCTCCTGACGGGCGGCTCGGCGTGCGGCGGCCATTTTTTGTCTTACACACATGGAGGAATATTAATGAAACTTCATAGAAATGTTCACCACTATGAGAAGCCGTATCGCGCGCATGAACCATGTCTCTAGGTCAAAGGTCAAGGTCACACTTAGAGGTCATTGAAAAACGCTTGTCTGGAGCAAACATTCTACATGCATAGAGGCATGTCAATATAACTTGGCACAAATGTTCACCATTGTGAGGCGGAGTGTCGCGTGCAAAATTTAGGTATCTACGGCCAATGTCAATATTTAGGGATTGAAATACAAATGGTAACAAGAAAAGCATTGATGCAAAGCATCAAAGGGCGTCCAAACAGCAGGTGCAGATGAACTAGTAGATATATGATGACAAGATATTCTTATAAACTGTTCAATGGTTCATTGGGTTTTACCAGAATTGTATATCACTTTTGAATGAACGGACGAAAGACATTGTTCATTATTTATAAATTTGATCGGCATGCTAGAAATTAGAATATTACTTGTTATTTCTTTATGATCGTGGTTATTAATAGCAACGGATATACATGTATACAATCATTTATAATCCATATGTGTAACGCATGATCAACACCATACTTGTGTAATTGTCCCTTATTATGTTATCGCTATTAGCGAGGACCCCCTCTTAAAGAATCTGTTCACACTAAGTATCAATATGACACTTGTTATATTACCATGTTGATCATGTTGAGCATAATTGTTTATTATACAATAAATGTAATTTCTATTTTAATAAAAAAAAATACAGATTTTATGAATATTGTTTTCTTTTCTTTTTTTTGTGTGTGTTTTATGCGCAATTTTAATACTGAGTTTTTACGTTTACTACTATTTTAAGAATTCAATTGTCATTATGATCGACGATAATATTTAAGTCAAAACTTAACTGGAAAAAGTCAGTAAATCATGGTTAATCTTTCAATATATAATATTGTTTATTCTTAAACCATATACATGTACATTTGTATTTTTCTTTATCATTTTTTAAATTATCAATCGATTGAATAATTCATAAAATCTGATTTGTAACTTTGAATAATTCCTCGGAATCTTTACTAAACACGAATAACAAATTAAATAAAATGTTTTAAAGTTGATAGTGTAATATTAATGCCATAAAAATGTACATTTTTTCTCAATTATTGTACATATTTATTGTTTTTATCTCATATAGATAAAATATAACATGCGATTTGTGTTGTTGGTTTTTTTATGTATAATAATAATCAATCAATTCGAGAGTTGATCTGTGTTTATTAATTATTGTAACCAAACTAAGTGACAAACATTCATTTTGACAAAAAGCTTATTTATCTGTAAACTATTTGTTCTGTTCTGTAACGATATCAAACATCTACTCCAAAACCGGGAGAGACCGGACAATAAACGTGTGGTACTATTCGCCGGTCATT